GCCTGATCGCCCCCAACTGCCACCCCTGCCCTCCTGCTCGCCCCCAACTGTCCCTCGCCTGCTGGCCTGCTCACCCCCAACTGCCCTCCCCTGCCGGCCTGATCACCCCTAACCACCTCTGCCTTGGCCCCACCACCATGGCTTTGTCCGAAAGGACGTCCAGAAGGTCTCCCGGTCTAATTAGCATATTACCCTTTTATTAGTATAGATAGTATAGATGTGCATCATACCAAAAAAAGGAAAAGGAAAAAAATAACAACAACCATTGTGAGTAGAAAAGAGGTCTCATGCAGAAAGTTCTCAACTGAAAGACATCACGTAGGAAGAGGGGAAGAACCATTTCTAAGCATTATCATGCTTTTTAAAGCCTGGAAAATATAACTTCAAATTGCTTCTGACTTAGTACTAAGAAACAGAATAAACAAAAGTTGAAGGTAATAAACACTGGTGAACAGTTTCACTTGAAACCACGGTGATGCTAAAGGGTAAACAAGAAAGAGGACAGGGGAACAATGTTCTTAGCACCTGAACATAAGTAGGTCCAAACCAAGGGAAGAGGGTGCTTCTTCATCTGCACGGAAATTCATCTAAAAACCATCTTTGCACTTAAGCCGGTGCTGACCTCCATTACTTATTCTTGGACTGTGGCATCTCTTCCCCATCATCAAAATAAAGTAACCCACTTTTCACATCTAGTTTCCAGTTGCTCCTCTTAATATATAGGCTTCCTTTTTCCAGCTTAACTGACCCACTAAGTTTCCAGTAGCTGTCCTGTTTTCTACCTTCAGGCTTTTTTTGTCACCCCCACTGCCTGGAATGCCTCGTGAGTTCATTTGCATTTCTATAAGTACAAATTCTACCTTGTAATGGAGAAGCAATATAATGACAGTTTAGGATCACAGACTCTGGAGCCAGAGTGCCTGAATTATTATCCTTGCTCCACCGTTTACTAACTGAGTGTCCTCGGAATGCTACTTAACCTCTCTGGGCCTCAACTGCCTCATCTCAAACTAGAGATAATTAGACTAAACCACCTGGAGGGGCCATGGTCAACATGAATGGCTTAATATACGAAAAAGGCGTAGGGCAGTGCCTGGCACATACTGAGAGTGTCAGCTACTACAACAGTGACAACATGATGAGGATGACTATTACTCCATATTGTCAAGGATGAAGTCAAATGCTTCCTCCTCCCAAAATCATTCCCTGAACCTTCCACCTAGGAGAAATCATTATCTCCATTGAATTCCTATAATTCTTCTAACTGCCATCTCTCTGAGAACACTTCTGTCTCATTTTATATTACTCACACATATGTTGTCTCCCTTATTGGACTTTAAGTTTCCTGAGAACAAAATCTACCTCTGATATGTCTCTTTATCACCTACAACTCCTAATATGATGCCCTGATCATAGTATATATTCAAATATGTATAAGTGGGTGGATATTTGGTCATAAGCAGGACAATTTTGTCAGAATGCAGGGCCTCAACCATTCTTACCACAACATCTTCCAAGATCTTAGTCGGGCAAGGTCTGGAATGAAATTCAAAGTGTTCATCCTCTGATTTCTTCTTTGACTCACGCTCCTGGATTCTTTTCTCAATTTCTAAATCAAAGCCAACAGGCTGAGTGGGTGGCTTCACAGGCGGTTTCTTGGGCAAGATGGGCCCACCTTCAAGAATTCTGGGATCCAGTTCCCTTGCTTTGAATTTATATCTGTAAGGTGAGAATTTAAATGCCATCCCCCCCAAAATTTTAATAATTAAAAAAAAATACATAAACAACAAAGTAGGCCAAACAGAAAAACAATAATCATTAAGCTTAGCCATCATGCAGAGCAAAATTTCTCTCCATAGTCATTATTTCTACCTCTAGAGCAAAGAATAAGAAAATCCTAACATTCCCACCACTTTAATGATTGGGGTTTCTCTTCACAGGGGAAGCTCCCCCTTCTCAAAAGTACAAAAAGAAATGGAAAGAGGATATAGGAGACAAATCCAGTGCTAACCATATTAAGTTCCAGTTTCCTCCCATGAACAATCCCTTGGGTAGCCATGAAAGAGTAGGATCTACCTAAACTAACCTCAGAGGACACTCCCTAACTGGAATCATAACTAAGTTCTCCCACTCCAACCTCTGCATTAGCTTTTTATCAGTTTACACTCCAGGACATCTCCATATTCCCACTTTCAGAACTAATCATAGAGGCAGGGACACAGCCTACAGAGCTGGTAACTCAAATGCTGTAAATTCCCATGGCATGAAAAATAGCAACTGTCCCCTTATAGAACTGAAAAGAGAGCAGGCGGTTTCTTAAACTCTTCCTCAGATACTGCCAGTGGTACTTACTGTTGCAGTTTCTCGAGCTCCTCGGCCTCCAGATCCGCTGCACTTTTGCAGGTCACAGGCCTTGTGCGCTGTTTGGTTTGCAACACAGGAGTCTGTGGTTCTGTGACAATCTTGGCCACAGTAGACTTGGTGGGTAACAGAGCTGTAAACCGAGATCAGAGACATTCACCTGGCTCCTCAAGACCCCATTTACCTGTAGGTGCTAACTCATCTTGGCAACCCAGAGAGGCCCAACCACAGAGTGGTTGGCCCTCCATATTCAGCTCAGTTCACATCAGGCAACCTGACAAATATGCAGTCCCTTCTTCCCTATCACTCTTTCCTGAGGGGTATGATTGATGAAGGTAAACTTTTGGTAAACTCTACTATTAACTTCTGAACTTAAAAACCACCCATGTCTGATGAATTCCTTATCACTGCACAGGCCTATACTGCCTTTCTATTGGCAATGCTAACTATTTTGCTTGTAATTGACAAGTAAGATTTTTACTTATTCCTGCTTTAAAAATAAGGCCTTTCTAAAGACCAAGTAACAATTCCCAATTTTATAAACTCCCTAAAAGCATCTATATCAAAGTATCAAGACTACCTCGCACAGAAAGTTAAATGGACAAAGTAAACTATGTCAAAGCATCAATATTAAGACCATCACCCAATGTTCCCCCAATAAATTCAATAAAAATAAAAATTTAAAAAAGACCATTGTTACTACTCATAGAAAATACTGATTTGCTGGGTCAGGGGCAACCATGTCAGTTTTATTATGTAAGAATGAGTTCTCTAATTTAGAACTTATCACATAAGATAAGAAGGTAGAAACCAAATATATTTCTTTTATAAAGAAGCCAGGCTTCAAGTATATACATAACCATTATTTAGCTATCACTGTAAAAAGTTTTAAATAAAAATTACTTTCTGTAATTTGTCAGTACTGAGATTATAAGAGCAGGACATATCCGAGTCTAAAAGTCATATATTATTTGAAAAGTCATGTTTAATATTTAAATTTCCATTAGGATAAAAAAAATTATTATTTTCATTAATATAAAATTTGACAAATGAACAGTATTAAGCTTGTCTGGCTACCTGACACAGCACTAAACAATGCCTATGTAAGGGCAGAAATAACTGAGACCTTCAAAGGCAAAATGACCAGATTCTGCTTTATCCATAATGCTAGCTTTATACACTGGACAACTATTTTATACCACTATTTTTAAACTTTTTTACCTTCCTTCTTATAGAAATTATTTTCATAAAAAATAGAAACTATTAGATTAGAATTCTCTCATTTGTTCACCACCAAATCTATACACCCACCAGCATTTGCACTCATTCTTCTCACTCTTCCATCCTCCTTTCAAAGAATGAGAGCTATGATAAGTACTCCTCCTCTACCTGCCTGTGCAGGGATTTAACAATTGGTTATCTTCTTTTTCTCCTCTATTTTCAGCTTCTCTGCCAGGAACTTCTTAGTACGCAGGCACACTCTACCTATCTTCCACATCTTTTAACTCTGACATCTCCTTTCATTTTCATAGCATTTAGAATAATTTGTAATGATCTATTTGTTCATCTCTCTCACTGAATTAGAACCTGATGTTGAGTAGCACCAAGTCCATTTTGTTCACTTCTATACCCTCAACACCCAACAAAGTACTTGGTCTGTAGTAGTAAAAGAAACTTGTTGAATCACTGAACAAAAAGCACACAACCTTGAATGAATGGAATGCCTTCATTTTCTATCAGTAAATAAATGCACCATGACACTTTGATATATAGCAAAGATATCTTTGATTCCCCTTATTACTGACCAGAAGGATCAAGTGATTGATAGGCATAAGTGGACAGATAGCTGGGTGGTTTGAGAAAATGCTCAACAATAAGTTAAGATTGCATATAGGTACATACCATACTTTAGTTCAAAAACTAGGATATCAACTAAAGGCAAATTTGTGCCTAAGATGAAGCAAAAGGAATTCTAGGGGAGACTCCAGCCAGCTATGATATCGGTAAGAAACTTACTAATATCATCCTTCTTGCTCCTCAAGTGATATCTGTTAGGGGTTCCTTTATAGAAGGCTTCGACCTGCTGTGCAATAGGTACATATGTAGAAGCTGTTTCATCAAATTTTCTTTTCTTTCCTTGGGACAGGTTGAAAGGCTTTATAATGGTGCATCCCTTAGTCACTCGGGCCTGTAAAGAAAGAAGTTGTTCCCCAAATGAAACGTTATAGAAGCTCAGATGTACCACAAGTCACATATTCAGCAGAGAATCAAAAGGAAAAGAGCTCGTGTAAAACCTTAAGAATTATTACTCTTAAACCTGTCAGTCTTTGAGCACAGGTTACCAGTCTATTCCCATCTTTAAAAAAAATAAAATAATCTAGCACTTAGCAAATTGTTCTACAATAGTACATAAAGTGATCTTTTATAAGTATGTTAATGTTTTAAAGCAATCAAGAGCAAATCTTCTTAGAATTAGAAGGAACCAAAAATGCTTAAAAGATACTCTATCCCTAATCCATTTTTTAAAAACTGATTAGGATTCTGGGAGTGACCAGGTCCAGTGTGTAAAAGCCTGAATCAGACTCTTATACACCCTCCCAAAACTGAGTGAAGAAGCCTACTCCTTGGAACACTGATTTTGATTAAATTGGTCTCTGACTGAAAACAACACTTTTCCAAAACCTACATCTCAAAGAAAGAACACACCCAGGGTTTAAGACTGAAAGACTGACTTCAACAAATGATGATGATGACTGAAATTGCAAGTAGAGATTCTTAGAATTTTTATTTAGGATTGTTAGTTTTTGTTAGTGCTCCGGTAACAACACTGCATAGGATTGGAGTGGTCTGCCCCAAAGCCATTTTCCCCATAAATGGTATTATATTTTGTACACAGCTTTGCAAACAAAACTTTTTCAAGAATTTTGTAACAGCACGAGCTGTAATAAGCCTGTGCTTATGATTTGCCACCCATAATTCTATGTGTTTTGTGTATATTATCGATTCAGTTTGCACAGCAACTTGGCAAGATGGTTCCCAAAGAGACAGTAATTTATCCAAGATCACAGAGCTAACAGGAGGCAAAGTGAGAATTCAGATCTTAATTCAATTATATTATTGTAAGTAGTGACCACAAATGTTACAGCTAAAATCCTCACTAAATTAGTAAGAGGAATATTCACTTAGTCCATCAACTTACAGGAGATGGAGGATGCTTTCGCAGTTCTGATGTAAAGTTCACTTCCTTATACTCCTCCTGGTTCTTAGGATGTTGTTTGATTCGCTCATCTGTGCGAAAGTGGAAGTTGACTGATTTGGTTACCTGGCTCACTGTTTTCTTCACAGGTTGTCCTGAGTGAGGAGCAGAGCAAAACACTCAGGTTACACAGAGAACATTAGTAAATCTCACTTTATCCATTCTTTTTGGTCTTTCTATTACCATGGATCTAACTTTGTTCACTCTTTACATGTAACCCAATATTTGAAACAGTCCTAAGGACACTAATATATGTGCCTTATTCATTAAGTTGAGTACTGTTGGAGGTGAGGCCCTTTGGTCAGATGCCAACTGTTAAAGAGGTAGGACAGGAAGAAAAATCCCATCTCCCAGGTGTGGCCATAGGTCTGAAGACAATGAGTAGCTGGAATATTTTTGATAGACAAAGATCTCAACTGACTTTAAAATCACACTTAACTAGCCCTGCTGGTGTGGTCCAGTGGTTGAGCGGCTACCCATGCACCATGAAGTCACTGTTTGATTCCTGGTCAGGGTACATGCTCAGGCTACAGGCTTGATCTGAGGTGGGGGCCATGCAGGAGGCAGCCAATCAATGTTTCTCTCTCTCTTCTCTCTCTCTGTAAAAATCAATAAAAATATATTTTTTAAAAAGGCACACTTAACTAAACATCTCTAAGAAGGAAACACTATAAACTCCAGGGGTGCTTCCTTCAACCCGGTAAGCAGGGCTTTATAGCTTCAACTCCACCAATAAACATGCAAGAGCAAAGCAGAGCTCTGATCCTTCAGTTCCCTCAGTCATGCTTTTCCTCCATAGCCACAACTGAAATCATTCCACTTCCTCTTCCTCTACCAAGGATAAAATGGGACAATTGGCCTGCCCTATTGCTTTATCTCCTGTCTTAATCCTAGTCTCTCTTTTTCTACTATAAACAAAAAGAATTAGGAGGAAAAAGGAGGGGGAAATCAATTCTACTTGAAGAAATGAAGGCATGGGAAAAGGTCTCAAAAGATAGGTTTGCCCTAACCGGTTTGGCTCAGTGGATAGAGCGTCAGCCTGCGGACTCAAGGGTCCCAGGTTCGATTCCGGTCAAGGGCATGTACCTTGGTTGCGCGCACATCCCCAGTAGGGTGTGTGCAGGAGGCAGCTGATCGATGTTTCTCTCTCATCAATGTTTCTAACTCTCTATACCTCACCCTTCCTCTCTGTAAAAAATCAATAAAATATATAAAAAATAAAAAATAAAAAGATGGGTGTGACTTCTACAGTTAGAGAAGGAACAGCATGCTCTAAGAAAGGGTCAATGTATGTAACATGTTATAGGGAATAATCACAGGGATGGTCCAGCCTTCTAAATAAACGTTATTTTATGCCAACTAAGGCTAAGGCAGACAGAGACTTCAAAAAACCCTACCAAGATTATGAGAAGCACCCCCTCATAAATCAGTCTCAACCAAAGCCAAGCTGACCTGCTCCAGCAAGAGCAAATTTCTTGAATTCTTCATTCTTTTTCCGCATCTCCATCACCTCCTGCTGCATTTTCATGCTCTTCTCCAACTCTTGCTCCTCAGTACTTTTTAGAAGTTTCTGTCTAAAGGGCAAATCAATAAAGGAGATAAGAGAGAAGAGGAGAAAGAGGCTCAATGGTTCAAAATAATCTAAAGGCATTATATAGATTAGATTTTAAACCTGTGATACAATAATTACCCAAACAAAAACTTAATTAGATAACCTATGGGAAAAATAATCCAGATGCACAATTTATACCTTAATACTGAACAAATTTTCAGAAAATAGCTAAAACAGACAAGATGTTCCAAAAGATCCACAAATTGGACTATGTCATGATTAGCTTTGTGCCACCAGAAAAGCTAAAATTAAAATGCCACTAGAATGGGAAAAATCTTTGCAACAAATATGGCCAAAGGTTAATAATATATACAGAACATATACTGTGATAGAGAGAATAGACTTAGGAGTAAAGCCAGAGAGTTCAAATCTCAGCCCTGTCATTTCATTTTCTGCCTATGTGATCCTGAGAAAATGATTTAACCTCTCAGAGCCTAAGGTGTCTCCACTGTAAAATGAGGAATATACTCATCTTCACAGAATGTTTGTGACTATTAAATCAGATAATGTTTCTGAGTACCTGACACATAGTAAACATTCCAGTTAGAGTAGCCATTCTTAGTAACAAACAAAAAAGGAAACAGAAAATTCACCCAAGAGGAAATATGGAAAAGACGTTACAATAACAGTAATACAATGTTGTTATACAATGTAATCAGGTAAATACAAATTAAAATAATTAAATGCCATCAACAATATAGCAATTAAATGTGGAACATTTTTTATTGATATTTTAGGGGTGGGGAAGGAAAGGAAGAGAAAGAGAGCAAGAGAGAAATATCAATGTGAGAGAGAAGCATCGATCTGTTGCCTCCCACATGCACCCTGATGATGGGGGTTTGCCTTGACAGGGAATCGAACAGGCACCTTTTGGTGCACGGGATGACACTCAACCAACTGAGCCGCACAGGGCAGGGCAGGAACATTTTTTTTTTAATATATTTTTATTGATTTCAGAGAGGAAGGGAGAGGGAGAGGGAGACAGAAACATCAATGATGAGAGAGAATCATTGATCGGCTGCCTCCTGCACACCCCCTACTGAGGATTGAGCCCACAACCCACACATGTGCCCTTGACCGGAATCAAACCTGGAAGCCCTCACTCAGTAGGCCAATGCTCTAGCCATTGAGCCAAACTGGCTATGGTGGCAGATGAGACAAGGAAATAATAATATTCAAAACCAATGGCACTGTAAATTTATATATTCTTTTCTAAAATAAAATTGGCTATATGAATAACCATAAAACTAGTAATTGAGATTACTCTAAAGAAAAAGCTCTGCCTATAAAGATGTTCACTAACTACTTATAATAAAAAATTAAAAACTACATTTTTAACAGAAAATGTTTAAATATAATGAGAATATTAACAATCTACCAAAAGAGGATAAATGTAAAGATTTTATAGTAGTACAGAAAAATAAATAAATCAAAGTCTCATAGTGAGTGAATAAAGCAAACCCAAAGGTTGTTTACATACTGATTGGGAAAATAGGTATTTTACTTGAATAAAACTAGAAGGGAGCTTGGTGAAATAAAAACATTCAAGTTGGATAGTAAGAACCTTTACTTTTTCCTTTTATATTTCTATCAATTTGCTTTAATAATATATTTTTCCCAATGTTTAAGGCTTGGGTACCCACCGGGTTATAAAACAATTCACCTCACCGTGGTTATAGCCTCAGGCATTTCCCAAGCTCCACGTACAACAAATAGACTGGAGATGTACCCATTTGCAATTTTCCTCTATTGACTGTTTAAATTCAGGAAAGCAGCATACCTTACAGGTGGCATGCCAGGCACAGTACGTCTCTCCTTGGCTTTCTCTGGGGAAGACTCATTCTTTCCAGAAGTATCTTGACAAGGAGCAATGCCATCTTTCTCTTCTTCTGACTTCTTTTGATTAGAACTTGAGTTCAAAAGAACAAAAAATATCCTCTTAATTCCCTAAATTATACCCTGCTCAAGCCTCCTCCCCAAATCTATTGCATATGACTTTAATTTTCACTCTCTAAGACAGCGGTTCTCAACCTGTGGGTCGAGACCCCTTTGGGGGGTCAAACGACCCTTTCACAGGGGTCGCCTAAGACCATCGGAAAACATATATATAATTACATATTGTTTTTGTGATTAATCACTATGCTTTAATTATGTTCAATTTGTAACAATGAAATTGGGGGTCACCACAACATGAGGAACTGTATTAAAGGGTCACGGCATTAGGAAGGTTGAGAACCACTACTCTAAGACAACAAGCATACTTCAACCACAAGATTCTTCTACTGCTAGGTAACTAGTGGTTATCAGATCATCTATAAGAGGTAAACTTTAAGAACACCAATAGAAATCAATATAAGAGTTGTCTGGTGAAGGTTCAAGAGGATAAGAGGGATTCCAACTGTTCATCATCCAATGCACAAATGCCAGACAGCTGGTTGCCTTCCAATATCGATTCCATTTTCTTTTTTATTAACAGAACGCCAATTGTGTTTGGGGCGACGATGGAAAAAGGCAAAAGTATTGTACTTGCATCAATAGTCTCTATTGCACCTAGGAGGGATCCATGACACAGTTGGGCAACTAAGATAAAACAAGAGTTTCTGGAAAATATTTTACTTTTGTGATATAGGTGGTGCTGCCCCTCTTCCTTTGCCTCCTTCTTCTCTTGATACCTAGTGATATAGCAGCTATCTTGTGGGAACGAGGCAACAAACACAAGGAAGAAGCTAAGAAACAGAGCAGCCATCTTGAGGAACAAGCAAGAAATAAAAGCTGACTCACAGAGATGCTGCCCTAGCATTGTTCAACCACTGAACCAAAGCCAACAGTAAACTTCTGTGAAGCAAATAAATAACTATTCTGTAAACCACTCTAGCTGAACAGGTAAAATGCATTCCTAACTGATAAAAATAAGAGCATCATATATTCTGCTTGCTATTAACCTCAGGAGCAAACAGAGGTAAAACCTATGCCAACTGTCAAAAGCTGTGGCTACTTACACTTTCATTCTTTTGGGGGGTGGAGTTTCACTGATGATTACAGGAGTAGGACATCTCTTGGCTTTCGTTTTCACATGGTGTTTTTCTTTCTGTGCCAAAGCTTTCTGAGCAGAGAGTCTAACAGATCGTCTATGGTAAAGGAATTGACAAAAATTTATCTGAAATGAATTTATCTTCTACAGATATGTAAATGTTCTTCAGAAATGTGAAAGTATGTCAAACTACAAAGAGCTATAAAAAGTTTAGTGGTATTATTTCAACTCTAAACGTCTAATCTCTTGTTTTACTGTTATAAAAATTTCATCATAAATATTAGTACTTAAATGCATTTGTACTTGTAAATTAGACCTCAATAAAGCTGAGATTTTTTTAAGGCACTGGCAATCACCTAGCAGAATTCTTTCTTTCATAAGTGAGAAAAGTAAAAAAAGATGAGGTGACTTGACCAATCCTGTTACATAACTAACTGCTGTCAGAATTGAAATTAGAGATCAGAGCTCCTGGAAACTGACCATAGTATTTATTTTCTCCTTTTACTTATAGCCACACAGTTAAAATATAACACATACCAAAAAATGCACAAAACAAAAATTAAGTTAAAAGATTACAAAATGAAATCTCATGAAATCATGACCTAACCTAAGAAACAGAACACTGGAAGCAGCTATCTTGACTTGTCTTATAGTAATCATTACTTTTTCTCTATCATTTCACCATATAAGATTAGTACATTAAGGGAAGAAACAAAAAAATAAACCTTTATGTAATGCAATCAGACTGCTGCAAGTATTTTTTTCTGTCTCGTTTATTTCACCCATCGTTATGTTTGTGAGATTCATTCACGTTGATTCATGTAGCTTTAACTCAGTTTTCAATGATGCATTCATTGCACGAATGTACCACTATTTATCCCGTCTACTGTTGATTCTCAAGTTCTTGGTGCAGAGTACACATGCTGCTGTTGGATATCTTAAGTTGTAAAATTACTGGGTCATAGGACATTGGTTAAAACAACTCAAGTCATTTTTCCAAAGTGCTTGAATCAATTTATGCTTACACTGGCAAGTTTATAACAGTCTACCATCCACTTGAACATTAGGTATTATCAGATGATTTAATTATAGCCATATTAAATGATTTGTAGAACTTCACTGTGGTTTTATTTTGCTTTTCCCTGATTACCAGTGGACAGAGCAACTTTTCACATGTTTATTGGCCATTTGGTTAACCTTTTTCATAAAGTGCTAAGTAGTTCAAGTCTCTTGCTTGCTTTCTGTGGAATGTCAATCCTTTTCTAATTGATTAGTAGAGACTCTTTGCATACTACAAATGAGTTGTTTGTAAATGTTATGTTACAAGTATCTTTTCCCACTATGGGGGTTGGCTTTTTTACTCTTTATAGTATCATTTAGTTAACAGTGCTCAAAATACATCAACCTCTTCCCCCATTATGGTCAGTGCTTTTCTATGTGTATCCTATTCAAAAAAATCTTTCCCTATTCTAAGCTCATAACTATATTCTCCTATATTGCCTTATATGAGTTTTAGCTTTCACATTTATATCTGTAATCTACGTAGAACTGACCGTTTTATATACAGTGAGGTAGAGACCAAGTTTCATTTTTATTCTACTTGGATATCCACTATCCAAGTATTAATTAAGGGAACTTAAAAAAGGGGAAAAAAAACACACCACTTTCCCCACGGGTCTGCAGTACTCTCTTTGTCATATACCATACCCATACATGGGAAACTGAGTTTCTATTCTATTTCACTGGTCTCACTGGTAAAGTAACACCTCCATGAAAAAATTATTATTACAGACTTGTTGATTCTTAACTTCTCTGTCAAAGTAGTTTTGGCCATCTTTCAGCCTATCCATCTAAACCATCATCCTCTTATCTAATAATAGACAAACATGGTAATTAACCGTACCTCCGGCACGCTTTCCATTGGCTAATCAGGGCGATATGCAAATTAACTGCCAACCAAGATGGCGGCCGGCAGCCAGGCAGCTGAAGCGAACAGGAGGCTTGCTTGCTCCAGTGATGGAGGAAGCCAAGGTTCCCCGCCTGC